TTTATTTTGGTTCCGTAGTCGGACCTTGAGTGTATCTGGATGATGTAATGTTATATTCATGTATTTGTGTGAAGTGGCGATTGTAAGCCAACTATGTATCTTTTCCCTTATGTATTACATGGGTTGTGTGAAGATTACCTCACTTGCGACATTGCTTTCAATGCGGTTATGCCTCTAAGTCATGCTTCGACATGTAGGAGATATAGCCGCATCGAGGGCGTTAAACTTCTTGTGTGATTTAGCCATAGCTCAATGTTCATCTTTTGTCAAGCATATTGAGTAGATCACTGCCATGTGCTTTGTTGCTATGTTGGGGTGTTGTAGCTTAGTTTCGTGTTGCATTCTAGATGGCATCGTGCTGTTAATCGCAGAATCGTGCCATTATTGTTTTGCTTGCCATTTGCAAACCGTGCATCCAATTCCGGTGATCTTTATATCGATTTCGATCGAAATCAACTCATCTTTCCAGGGGCACGCTTGGTTGGCCAAGTTGAGGCCTGATTCAATCTTTTTCCTTCCGGAGCTCGCATATGCATTGCATATCACATCTCGCATATCATGCCATGTTTTGCATCATGTTGCTTGCGCATTGCACGTGGTTGATTGTTGTTTCCTTTGCTCGTGTTCTTGCTTTGGGTAGAGCCGGGAGACGAGTTCGTGATTGAGGTACCCGTTGAGTACGCTTACGAGGATCAAGCTTTCGTCAACTCGGAGAACTTTGTAGGCAAGATGACCATACCCTCGAAATCACTTCTATCTTTGCTTGCTAGTTGCTCGCTCTATTGCTATGCTGTGATACCTACCACTTGTTATAGCATGCCTCCCATATTGCTAAGCCAAGCCTCTAACCCACCTTTCCTAGCAAACCGCTGTTTGGCTATGTTACCACTTTGCTCAACCCCTCTTATAGCGTTGCTAGTTGCAGGTGAAGATTGGAGTTTGTTCCATGTTGGAACATGATTATTGTTGGGATATCACAATATCTCTTATTTAATTAATGCATCTATATACTTGGTAAAGGGTGGAAGACTCGGCCTTATGCCTGGTGTTTTGTTCCACTCTTGCCGCCCTAGTTTCCATCATACCGGTGTTATGTTCCGTGATTTTGCGTTCCTTACGCGGTTGGGTTATAATGGGAATCCCCTGACAGTTCGCCTTGAATAAAACTCCTCCAGCAAGGCCCAAGCTTGGTTTTACATTTGCCTAACAACCTATTACCCTTCCCTTGGGTCGGCCAACCCAAGGGTCATCTTTATTTTTAACCCCCCCGGGCCAGTGCTTGTCTAAGTGTTGGTCCGAACTAGAGCCCCTTGCAGTGCCAACTCGGGGAAACTTGAGGGCTGGTTTTAGTTGTATGGATTGCTCATCCGGTGTTGCCCTGAAAACGAGATATGTGCAGCTCCTATCAGGATGTCGACGCATCGGGCGGCTTTACTGGTCTTGTTTTACCATTGTCGAAATGTCTTGTAACCGGGACTCCGAGCCTGATCGGGTCTTCCTTGGAGAAGGAATATCCTTCGTTGACCGTGGGAGCTTGTGATGGGCTAAGTTGGGACTCCCCTGCAGGGTTTGAACTTTCGAAATCCGTGCCCGCGGTTATGGGCAGATGTGAATTTGTTAACGTCCGGTTGTAGAGGACTTGACACTTAACTTAATTATAATGCATCAACCGCGTGTGTAGCCATGATGGTCTCTTTCCGGCGGAGTCCGGGAAGTGAACACGGTCTCGTGTTATGCTTGAACGTAAGTAGTTTTAGGATCACTTCTAGATCACGACCGTTGCTTTGCTTTCTCTTCTCGCTCTCATTTGCGTATGTTAGCCACCATATATGCTAGTGCTTGCTGCAGCTCCACCACACTACGTTTTCCTACCCATAAGCTTAAATAGTCTTGATCGCGAGGGTGTGAGATTGCTGAGTCCCCGTGACTCACAGATACTTCCAAAAAACCAGCTTGCAGGTGCCGACGATATCGCGCAGGTGACGCAACCGAGCTCAAGGAGGAGCTCGATGAAGATCGTGTTTGTTGTGTTGTTTCGTTTCTAGTTGATCTGTAGTGAAGCCTAGTCGGGGCGATCGGTGATCTTTTGCATTAGGGGTAGTCTTCTTTTATTTTGGTTCCGTAGTCGGACCTTGATTGTATTTCGATTGATGTAATGCTATATTCACGTATTGTGTGAAGTGGGGATCGTAAGCCAACTCTTTATCCCTTTCTTGTTCAGTACATGGGATGTGTAAAGATTACCCCTCTTGCGACATGCCTACAATGCGGTTATGCCTCTAAGTCGTGCTCCGACACGTGGGAGATATAGCCGCATCGTGGGTGTTACAGGTTGGTATGATTGTATATTTTATTTATGGTGCTGTCCTATGGTGCCCTCCATCTCGCGCAAACGTGAGGGGCTCCAGTTGTAGGGTGTTGCAATATGTTCATGGTTCGCTTATGATGGGTTGCCAGAGTGACAGAAGCTTAAACCCGAGTAAGTGTGTTATGGAGTATGGGGTAAAGAGGACTTGATACTTAATGTTATGATTGGGTTTCATGACCTTAATGATCTTTAGTAGTTGCGGATGCTTGCTAGGGGTCCAATCATAAGTGCATATGATCCAAGTAGAGAAAGTAAGTTAGCTCATGCCTCTCCCTCATATAAAATTGCAAGAATGGTTACCGGTACTTATTATCGATTGCCTAGGGACAAATGACTTTCTTGTTGACAAAAGCTATCTACTTTTATTGCCTTGCAATTTATTCGTAGTTTTATTCTCGCAAAGTACTCGTAGTTTTATTCTTGCAAAATAGTTTCATACTTGTTGTAGGTAAAGCAAACATCAATTGTGTGTCGAGTTGTATCGATGGTCGATAAAACTTGAGGAAATATTTGTTCTACCTTTAGATCCTCGTTGGATTCGACACTCTTATTTATCGAAGAAGGCTACAAACGATCCCCTACACTTATGGGTTATCATACACCAACCATGGAAAACAACAATTCACACAAATAATTAGCAAGCAAACAACATATCATTGGAAATCATAACACTCTGGTGACATGCGCCTAACAAAACATCAAGCACAAATACATCGACGCCCTAACATCTAACAATTCAGTAACATAATTGCACAACACGAGATTATAATTAGTACGTCGCATCATAACACCATAGACCAAGTAGTAAGGTTCAATATCAAATCTCTCTCGCATCTCACAAGTCACAACTCTTAAGAGTAGTTTTAGATGGCATGGGTTTAAAATGTGAGTGGGACTGGGCTTTGTGGTGTGGGGTGGGTTTGGGATGTGCTAGGTGTCGTGTGATGGGGCCCATATATGTCAGATTTCCACTATAGGGTACTCGTGGATAATGCAGGAACAAACCCATATTGTATTATCTGATGGGAAGGTTTCTTTGGCCATTTACTTATGGGAATCACTTATTTTCGACTATAAACATGCTTGCGTCAATTGCCTCATTCGTGTGACGCGCATCTATGGACCGCACAAACTCTGTCTCCTCGTCCTTCCTTATCCAGCCTCCGGCTCACTCTCAGCCACACATTCTCACGTGCCTCCTCTCCCATCTTTCTCTACGAAATAGCTACGCGGACGACAGAACACCGAACGATTCCCGGACGAAGCAGCTCCAACCCATAGATATTAAAGAACGGGCCTAATCCAGTGGTGAGGATGAGTTGTCGTGCACATGTCGGCTGAAAAAAATCGTGTGCGTAGCATTGCTCCTTTCTCTACTTCTCATATACCTTGGTATCTCGCCCCTCGCCCACCATGGATGCATCTCCTTCCACCCAACAACACACGCACTCCCTATAGAACATGGGAAGAGAAGGGGTGCTGCTACAAAAGAACGGTCATGGGAATGGCTGCTTATGCGAGTGTCGATTTTACTGGAAAGCGGTGTTGTGAGGGTGTCCCAACTCCTGCAAGTGTCGTTGTGAGACCCTGAGTAGCGCAGCAACGGCGGGTGACGATCCTACAAAAGGTGGCAGCGATGTTGTTGCTGCTGCAACGAGAGCAACACAATTCTACAAGCGGAGAAGTGAGTCGGTGGCGACTGTTTGTGAGTGGATGGCGGGCGCTACAAGAGATGTTGCGAAAAGGGGAGAAGGATGCGCCACCGCCGAGGCTACGCGACAAATGACGCCAGCAATGTAGCAAAGGGGTCGTCGTAGGTTACTGCTGCAAATGACCGATGCCGCACAACGGAGCAACCATCAGACATCGATGATGCAATAGAGTGGCGGGCTCTGGTGATTCAACGAGTCGCCGCCTATGTTGCCAGGAGAGCTGCTCGCCGACATGCTGCAAGGGCAGGCGACCCCGTTGGGTGCGCAGGTGATTCCAGGGTGTTGCAAGGGGTTGATGCAAAGCCGTCCACCAATGGTGAGCTCAACATGAGGGTGGCTATATGACGGCAGCATACCTCTTGCATGCTACGACGACGACTGTCCATGCCGCGAGAGGGGCGCTGACTCTTGCTAGGAGGCCAACGGTGGTGCGAGGGCGTCCATGCATGTTGTGAGGCAAGCGGCGAGGGGCACCGAAGCTTGCTACGAGAGAGGTCGATAAGTTTCTCGAGCGGCGTCGCAGTTGCCGTGATGAGGAGTTATGTCACACGACGGAGCTAGAAGGGAGTAGGGGAGAAGGAACAAGATCAAACAGTTTAGGTGTGTCGCATCGAACGATGATATAGGCGGCTGATTAGTTCTCGCGCTACAGCCGACTCGCGCCTAGCGTTGACCTATTTGGGAACGGGTCCAACTCATGACATTTCACTGCATACAACCAGACACACCCTTATCTGTGGGTACTAAATTTAACCCAAACCCGTTCCCCAATGGGTAATTACCCGTCGGATAGAGTAACGGGTACCCGTAAACCGTTCCATCTTGTGTCGACGCATCGACTCGGGCGCACTGGCAGGCAGCTGTGGCGGAAACAACTCCATTTCCCAACCAACCAACCAACAGCCGCCAAAGGCCGATCCATGGCGTCGGCGTCGCCGTCGCGGCTGCTGCCGCCCTTTCCCCCTCCAGCTGCCCCAACATCCCGCCACACAACTCTCCGCGCCGTCCCTCGCAGCTGCAGCCTCGCCATCCCGAGCCTCCGGTGCCGCGCCTCCGCTCCAGCGGCCGTTGACGCTGGCGCGCCGCTGCTGCTAGAGGACCGCGCCGGCGCGGTGTCCATCCGAGAGTTTGTCACGCTCGATGAGCTCCACGCCGCCGTGCGCCTCCGCGTTCGCACCTTCTACGAGTACGCCCGCGACACTGTCGGCGCCGAGGTGATCCATCTCTTTCCTGCTTGTTTGCTATGTGAGCTCTCTTAGCTTTCAGAAAAATATACTGTACTACTAATTAATAGCCGAGGAGGCAACCTAAGATCTGGGTTTTCGCTTGGAAACGAAAATGTGGCAAGATTCGGTGAACGATAGTGTGCCGAATCGACCTCTTTCTGCAAACGCGCAAAATTAATCCGGGCCTCGTAGATGACTATACTTCGGAAGTTGATGTAGATGGATCGGTTTGTGATTATAATGGACAGTTTGAATTTTGCTACTGTACTGTTTGTTTTTCCTTTCAGTTCTGTATATAAAGGCTACTACTAGTATAACCGATCGGGAACATCCTTTGCATAGAAAAAAAAATGTTGCAGGTTGTGAGAGAGAATTTAGGAGTAACAAGGTATCAATAGTTTCAGTGAAAATCTTTTAAAATAGGCGATGAATGGAATAAGGTTGTGAAAGCTAATTCATTCAGATATTTCCATGTTTTTTTTGACGAAAAGCTGTCAGCGCAGCATTTCATTGAATATATATATAGAGAGAGGAAATTTGGTACAGAGCATACACCTAAATCCCCAGCAAGGGATAAAAGATGATCATCCCATTTTAACACCCATACATACACCATCTAATGATCCTAGTCAGGTTCCCTAGGTCTGTTCATCAACTGAGCAATCTTTGTTCTCTTTGCCAATGTCCACAGCTCCAGTTCCTCGATGATGCGTTGCTGAACCTGTGTCACAGAGGATGTGACGTTGTTGAAGATTTCCTCCGCAGGCAAAAATGTGGTGTTGACTGTCTTTATTCTTATAGTTCATGCTACTTTAGGTTTGTTGAATTCACTGCTTTCTGGCCAAGTAAATTCCAAAATTAGCATAGACAACTTACCTAGTTGCAAAATGGCGCAACCTTGTTCAAGAAAAGCTTTCCTTCTATCTTTATAATATATGTGTTTTCCTTCTATACTTTCCACTTCCTTTTTCATTCCTCTGAATGCTTCAGTGAACCATAATATTGATGCATTAATAATTTAACTTTACTTATTGTCAAGTTCTATTAGGATCACAGGAAAGGTCTGGCAGAGAGGGAATATGAAGCATTACAAAATCGGATTTCTGGGAATATGATTAATTTTCGGAGAGTCTCTTGTATAAATGGGACAGTGCCACTGTTGCCATCGTTGATGTCAGCAGAGGAGCTTTGTTCAACATGCAAGGTATAATGATAGTATAGACGCGATGCCCTTGAATAGGCACTTATTTCAGCTCTGTTCTGTTCCAAATTTTCTAGCAAGACCACAGAAATCTGGGTTGCAGAACCCTGACATTCTTCTATGTTCCACTTGGACATAAAAGCTAAATAAGAATGATAATTGCAAAGTGCATTTTTCCTTGGCTCACTTTGATTCATCTTATGATCTCACTTTGTCGTGCAGAAAGCATAAAATGCTAATATGTCCTGTTCTTCTAGATACAACTTCCTTTGCTCATCCAAAAAATAAAATGCACTTAGCCTGTCTTGGTTCCTGTATGATTTTCCGATGTGCATGTGTTCATGTCTATGGTTGATTATATTCATTTCTAGAAAGAATAATCTGTCAATGTTAGAGTTTAACCTCTGAATTCTGACATATGCAGTTTGTTGAAGATGGGGAAGAGAGAATAGTAGTTGGTAGTTTAGACCTGAATCAGTGCCTCTGGCTACCAGATGAACTGACTGGAAAGAGGCCAGGGGTAAGTTTCCAACAGAGTGAGGGTTTACTGGATACAACTGAAATTCTGGAATAGTTGGTTCGATACCATTTGCAGTTCTATTGTCTAAATTTGTATTAAATGATGATTTTTATAAAGCAGTAGTTGCCATGTCAAATATCCTTATCTATTCCTGTATCTATTTAATTATATTGGTACAAACAAGATGCAAAATGCTTATTTTAATTTACTTTAAATCCTTTTGTTTTGCTTTTTCAAAGATATTCTTTTTGTAATATTTGATCTGTATTAATAGGTAACTGAATCAAGCCATACACGGGCATATCTGAGCAATGTATGTGTTGCCAAGGAGCTCCAAAGATGCGGACTGGGCTATGCATTGGTTGACAAGTCTAAGAAGCTTGCTCGTCAATGGGGTGGGTTCATTTCATTTAGTTTCATTAACGTGGTTTTTACGTATCTAGCTGATTTTAGACCTATCCTTTGTTGGTACTTGGTAGTTAGATTACCTGCAACATGACAATATATACTGATAGATTGAGTTTTCGATTGTACGAAAACGTGCTTCTTATATTCAGGTCGAAACATCTATTATCAAACTTGTTCTTTCACCATTATCTGATAACTGTACAACCATATGTTGCTACTCAAGATATATGATCTATTCCGGTTTAGTTGAATCATATGATTGTTGTGCAGCAGCTTTTGCGGACCGACAGAAGTATGGCAATTACTTCACTTCTTAACCCTTTGAAATTATTGCCCCTTAATGCAATTTCTCATGATGGATATGAACACAAATATTTGCAGGCATAACGGATTTGTATGTCCATGTTGCCATCAACAACGAGGCGGCACAAAAGCTGTACATCAAGAGTGGATTTGTGTACGAAAGCGAGGAGCCTGCCCAGCAGGCTAGGCATCTTGGGCGCCCCCGAAGGCTTCTTCTTTGGCTTGATATGAAGAACGAAACCTTGTGATCTTACCTGTAAATGCTTCTTTTTATAGTTATACAGCATTATCTATATATAATTTTGATTTTACTGCCCAATTCAAGTAGTAGTATTTTTTTCCTTGTGGAAAGAAATACAATTCTCAAAATTTAAATTAAGGATTCTCCCCATAATTTTATTTGTTCTGCACATAGTACTCATTATTCAATGTATATCCAGCATTCCCCCGGTGGCAAACAATGGTACATGATAATACAGTGCTATCAAATCTTTGCATTCCTGCCCAAATTTTTTTGTTTGACTTTCACACTGATTCCTAGGGCGCGTTTGGTGGACTGCATGGATTTTGGGCACTTTGCATCTGTGGCAAGACTCAGCCATGCTGAGTGAAAACAGGCAAAAAACCATGTTCTAGGCAGATGCAGAGTGTTGTTGTTTGGTTATGTGCAACACATGTGATCTGGTAACCTCTTGTTGGAGTGGTGAGGTTACCAAAACACACACATGCACACTATAGATAAACAAGCATAACATAAACCCATAAACCAGTCTTAAACACACAGTCACATGTAGTTAAACGACAAACAATTGCGGCAAAGTCTTTAACATACTATGCAAAAGTCTTAAAGGTGCAGGGATAACTTGCTAACAATCCATGAGAAATGCCTCCTCGTGCCTCTTGCACTTAGTCACCACCTCGATGTCGTCGCTGTTGAAGACCATCTTCACGGTTTTGGGAGTCGCCAAATTGAAGGTGCAGAGGTACCCGATCCTAGTCTGATGAGCAATGACGAAGGGGCCCAACCCTTGGTGAGCCCTGCCGTTGATCATTCGAACCATCACCCTCCAGGCGCAGCTGATGTTCATCCTCAGCACGTAGGGTGGTCAAGTGCTTGGTGAACTCAACTGGCATCGACAGACACTCCAACATGGGTGCAAGGATGACCTTGCAAAAGTGGCTTGTGCCACCGCACTCATGGAGATGGCTGTAGTTCTTCGGCCCCTTGGGGGCGCTGCCGAGCTCCACCACCACCTTGCCCTTCTTGTCGGCCACTACCTCCTTGCCCTTGGCCCCCGAAGCACCATTGTCGATCTGCATCGAACATATGAACGTGAGGTGAATGGAGGGACAAAATGTAATCCACATATGAATAGCAACAATGGAGGTATGTAGAAAATCTACTACACTTCATCTTCAACGTTCATTCATGGCACTCACCTACCTACCGCTTGAACCTTCAAAGCCCCTATTTATCTTCCATCGCACTACATCTTCAACCCATCTCTCTCTCTCTCCCACAACTCTCTCTCTCTCTCACCACTACACCGCCACGAATCCTTTCCCCAACAGTCCTAGATGGAGGGCATCATCCTTGGGTGCTCTCTCGCACTACTAGGGAAAATCTTATACACAGAACATTAGCAGTAGCGCGGACTAAAAACAAACGCATGTGCTAATTAGCAGCAACGCGGTGTTGTAAACGGCGCTAGAGATACAATTATAGCAGTAGCGTGCCCGCGTACAAAAGCGCTACTACTAAAATTCCCACGGCTTAGCCGATAGGCTGCACATAGTAGTAGTGATCTTCGCCGAACCGCGCTACCGCTGTTTGCTTTGTAGCAGCGCGTTTACGCTGAGAGGCGTTACTGCTAAAGTAAATAAAATTAAATGGAAAGCAAATAGAAAAGTAAATGAAAATGAAAGAAATACAAAAAGGTGAAAGGAAAAAATAAAATGTAAAGAAAAATAAATGAAAAAGGGGGGAAAAGAGAATGGTATAGCAGTAGCGCGTATCCAGGAACGCGCTGTAGCTGTGTTAGCAGCAACGCACTTCCTGAAACGCGCTACTGCTATTTCTGACTAAACCGCTTGATTCGTTTTTCCCAACGGCCATTTCCCCCAAATCGCAACTCCTCCGCTGTCGCCGCCGCCGTCGCCCGTCGGCCGCCGAGCGCTCTCCCGTCGCTCTCCCGGCTTAAAGCCGCCCCCGACCCCGGATTCGACGCCGCCCCCGACCCCGACCTCGACGCTGCCCCCGACCCCGACCTCGACGTCGCCCTTCGCCGTGCTCCCGAGCCCCGACCCCGACCTCGACGCCGCCTGCCCCTCCCTCGCCGCAGTCACTGTAAGGCTCTGTCTCTCCTCTCCCCTACCCTCCTCGCTCTCTCTGCTAGGGCAATTTATATATGTGTTGATGCCGTGTTGATGTTCATATGAACCCTAGGTGTTCATATGAACCCTAGGTGTTCATATGAACCCTAGATTTGTTTAGGGTAGTAGGCATTTTTTAGCATTTAGGAAAAATGATTAGCAATTTTTTAGGCAATTAGCTAGGGCAAATTTTTATGAAAATGCCTAAACAGTAATTTCATTTGCATATTGTTGTTATATGATATATGTCATTGATGTTCATTTGCATATTTCATTATTGAAGTGGTTCGATTGTGCCCAAGTGGCTTTGTTGTTTCCAGGAAATGAAGCCGAGTGGCCTATGTTTTGACGGAATGTTGATTCATTTCCATTCAGGCAAATTTCAGGTTCTCGATTTGCCCACTTTTCAGCAAAAGTCATGCCAAAATTTTCCGTGAATTTCGGCATGACTTGTGCTACAAACTAGGACATATCGAGTGCCCGGGATTTGCCGCACCGGGAAGGAGTCAACGTTCCTGCAAAGCATAGGCCTTTTTTTATGTCATTATTCATTTTATTAGGTATAGAATTAATTGACTAGATTTAATCGTAAGAACTAGTTGAGTTAATAGAACTAGTTGAACATGTCACATTTGTTGTTATTTTTTTAGTTAAAGCAATTTTTCGTGCATCGATGTTGACGATGCCTATCCCGCATCCTCGTCGTCGAGTCGGCGGAGGACACCTGCGTCACCAGATGGGCCATGTCCGGGACTGGGCTCCGCAGGGGTGGTACTGGGAGGCGCTACCTACCGGGGGGCGCAGGTTGGTGAGGAGCTAGCCTGTCGTTGACCCGAACCTTCTTTGATGGCGGTCGCGTGGGCCAGTGACGGTCCAGAGGCTCGAAGACCCCACGGAGGTGGTGCGTCATCGTGTCAGTGAGGAGGACGCGCACGTTCGTCGCTACTTGTTTGCGTTGGAGCATAGGTTCTCCAATACCTGGCAGGTTCTCCAGGGATCTCATTGGAGCTATGATCCTGTGATCGTTCCTTCTCTTTGGGTGTCCACCGCCCGCGCCGATACCCGTCGTGCGCTAGGGTTTTAGTTGTATTAGTGATGTTATATGTATGATACTATTCGGGGTGTATTAGTGATCGTTACTTTTGCTTATTCAATGCATGCTAATTTGAATACTTATTTATTTTATGATTTGGTTTTGCTTATTGAATGCTCATGTCAATATGAGTCCTATAAGATATTTTGAGTATCCTGAAGTTATCTTCGATCAATTTTCAATTAATGTTTCAACTATGAACATAGGAAATGTCTGACAACTAAAAGGATTTCGGTATTTGCAAATACTGCGAAGATGAGCGCAGCCTGTGCGACGGAATCTTCCTAGATGATGATAGGTGCTTCAACATCAAGATGGACGTGAACTTCTAAGTGGATACAGTAAGTCACAACGACAAGTCTTTTTTCGTAATTAAGCATGACATCTGCTTCATTTGCTTCAACTTATAATTTTTTTTACTATTCTACTAGCGTATCCCCTGCCATGTAAGAGTTTTTGTCTTGGATAAGATATGTTTCAGTCGTACTATGGAGGTAAAGAAAGTTTACTTAAAGACCGAGCATGATTATATTTTCCATGCAAAATTATACAACGCAGACGACTACACCTATTTTGGATGCAAAACTTGACTAGCACTATGCAAGACTTATGCATTTGAGCCTGATATGGTTATCACCTTTGATATTCGTCCGGAAGATGATATTGAAGGTAATACCGACATCTGGGCCGATGTGCAGATGCCTCCAGTTATACCATCATGTGAGTTTCTCAACCATATTTATGTCTTTGATATTGTTTATTCAAAAATAGTTGACAACTAATTTCTATTGTCAGCTTATTTCGGTTCAAGCAAACATGTACAGCGCTTGGTAGACAGGACCTACTACTGTCCCGGAGCTGAACTAAACTGCGAGGAGCTAAGTCATTATATTTCATGGCTTGAGGATCTTGATACTGTCAAGACAAATTTTCTTCCTACACTTAGAAATGTTAGTACTGAAAACGTGCGACCAATAGTGTTCGTAATGAACTACGGTCACATCTATTTAGAAAAGATGGTAAGATTTTTACTATTTGTCCTCAGTGCATCTTTTGCATACATTATTTTTTAAGCTAAACTTCATTGTTAAGTATATTACTATACAATGTTCTTCAACAGGGACTCCCGATGAATATTGTGCCTCATGGGATCGAGACTAATGGTACCATGAGTATTGTTAGCTTACGGACAAGATATCCTAGAATGCACTTTAGTGCATTCAGGATTTCTAAGAGCGAGAAAGTCTTAATAGTGAAAGACTGCACCAAATTTGTGATGGAGGAGCGCAGAGAAGTACTAGGAGGCATCAATCAGAAGCGCAGCCCACGATTAGGAGACAGGTTCATCTGCATGCTTCAACTTGATGAAGGAGGAGAGCTACACATGTTTTATGTTATTTTATCTGAGAGAGAGCAGCATGAGTGATTAGCTAGCTAGAAATGAGTTTGAAGATGATGATGTGCTACACTATGACTATGATGATTAAATAGCTAGTGTTGGTGGTAATGACTATGATGATTATTTTTAGCTAGCGTTGGTGGTGATTAGATAGCTACCGCATCTAGTGTTGGTGGTGATTAGCTAGCTAGAATGAGTTTGAAGATGATGATGTGCTATACTATGACTATGGTGATTAAATAAATAATGTTGGTGGTAATGACTATGATGATGATTAAATAGCTTGTGCTGGCGGATTAGATTCAAGTGGAGACAACATGTGGTGCACATCGAAAATACTACTAGTACAAACTAGATCAAGTTTGGATTAGTAGTATACTTTT